AATATATTACTTTCAATAGCGAACCAAGATAATTATATAAGATCATATAATCTCATAATATAGAGTATTCTATATATAATAAATAGATAAATATATATATCTCTCTCTCTAATCAGTATCCCTTGCTAATATTAATATTTTCTTTATTAATAATAATATTGAATTAATTTCTTAAAGAGAGATTCTATATAGAAATTCAAGTATTGAATTTCAAGAATGAATTTATTATGGTCTAACTTTATGATAAGAAATTTTAATTATTTGAGACTTTCGTCTAGAAGGAAATCCTAATTAGTCATATTCTTTTATATCTTATAGGCTACAGCAAATTTAGTTCAATGATTTCTGATCGATTCGTAGGCAATTTATGAAGGATTCGGCTATCAAAATTCAACGACGCATTATTTTGCAGGATAGTGAAGTATTTGGAGCTAAAACGGCGCGCCGTTGAACTTGCCCCTAGTCTCCCCTTCCTAGGCCATCAAAATTCAACGGCGCGTTATTTTGGAAGGCAGTGAGATATTTGGAGCCAAAATAACACATCGTTGAACTTGCCCGGGCTGGCCGCCCCAAAACCCGGCCCCGCCACACCCGTTGTGCCCCGCCCGCCCCGCCCCCCTTTTTAAGGACAGCAAAATTCAACGACGCGTTATTTTCGAAGACAATGAGATGGTTGGAGTCAAAACGACACGCCGTTGAACTTGCCCCCAGCCTCCCCCTTCCCAGGCCATCCAAATTCAATGACGCGTTATTTTGGAGGGCAATATGGTGTTTGGAGCCAAAATGACGCGCCGTTGAATTTGCCCCCCCGCCTCCCCCTTCCCAGGCCATCAAAGTTCAACGGCGCGTTATTTTGGAGGGCAATGTAGTGTTTGGAGCCAAAACGGCGCGCCGTTGAATTTGCCTCCAATCTCCCCTTTCCAGACCATCAAAATTCAACGAGCGTTGTTTTGGAGGGCAATATGACATTTGGAGCCAAAATGATGCGCCATCGAACTTGCCTCGGCTGGCGCCCCCCCCAAACCCGGCCCCGCCGCACCCGTTGTGTCCCGGGCATCAAAATTCAACGATCAATAAAATGACGCGCCATTGAATTTGCCCCCAGCCTCCCCTTTCCCAGGCCATCAAAGCTCAACAGCGCGTTATTTTGGAGGGCAATATGACATTTGGAGTCAAAATGACGCGCCGTTGAACTTGCCCCGGCTGGCCCCTGCAAACCCGGCCCCGCCGCATCCGTTGTGCCCCGCCCGCCCCGCCCCCCTTCTTGTGGGCATCAATGGTGCTATTTTCGAGGACAATGAGGGGTTTGGAATCAAAACGACACGTCGTTAAACTTGCCCCCTATAGAAGAATAATCAATGAATATAATATAGATTAGAAGCAACAGTATAATGAATAATATCTAATACTAGCTAGCAAATACCTTAATTTCGAGCCCCTAGAAACCCAATAAGAAAGATACCACGAGACTAAAGAACTTCCTTAATTTCTTAATAATAACTTGTGATTAAGAAATATGAGAGATTAAAATAAATCAATATAATTTTCTAAATATAAATTCGATCATATTATAATTCTTAATCCTAAATCCTAATTCTAATCTAAAATTATCAAAGCCATAAGATCCATTTATATTCTTTAATAATAATATATTTCAAATTTATTATGAATTCCTGAGAGAAAAATAGAATAATAAATAAAAAGAAAGAGAAATCTAAATATAAAGAAATTTAAATAAATTCATATATATTATATATAAAATAAAAGAAAGATAGACTCATCAAATCTAAATATAATAGATATCTTTTAATATAGATATAAATAAATATAAATAGAAATATAAATATTGAAATTAGATAAATAAAATATATAAATAATATAGAAAAATATTGAGAAATTTTTTCTGGAAAAAAATATAGAGAGATATAAAAGAAAGATATTCAGAGAGAGGCGCAGAGAAATAGATCATTCCCAGACCCATATATGTGCAGAATACACGCGCATACCTATCTAAAAGTTCGGAACTTACATTTCCGACAGCATAGACCGCGAGACTTCCGAAAGCCACCCAAAATAAATGCATGAAAATATATATTTTCAATACTTATCTAAATAATTAAGTAGATATATATTAAAAAAGAAAATCGAATTTTATGAATATTTTACTATAATATTTTAATATATTTCCTATATATTTCAATTTTTTTTATTTCGATAATATAATGAATTCTACTTCAGCAATAATAATCGATAAAACCTTATAAATAATGAATATATATTCTGTTATCCGAAATTCAATCTATATATCTAAATATAGATTATTCATAGTAAATTAAAATATCGATATAAGATATATCATCAAATTCAATAAAATATTCGATTAGCATCAAAATTTAGACAAAGTTAGTTCTATAAATCTAGAATATTTAAAAATTTTATATTTTGACCTATTAATATATAATATTGCCAAAATGTCTGCTTTATATCTATCTCTAAATATAATATTTGAAACGCGTTCTATTGATTTAGATTGATATTATTTACTTCCCCGATATGGTAGATGCCGTTTCTCTTGTTCAGTTGCCGGCATCGTGGCTAGAATGGCGTGGTGTTCGCCATGTTTCGCTGACGATTTGAAGAATGTGGTTTCACCTCACAGGCCAGCAGAAAAGGTTTGCGCAACTGGCACTGCATATCCTCTGTGACGAGCTCGGATACATGATGCACTGAGCATGGAAACAGCCGGCGACCCTGAGCTCGGAAGCGCGGTACGGAAACGCGTGTGCTTCCCAAGTTCTCATGCGGCACGGCTTTGCAATCTGATCCTGCCCACGAAAGCCCGAACCCCTGGCAGTGTTTACCCGAGGCCCCAAACCTGCATTAAACCGGCACGGTTTGACAGCAGCTCGCGGGACATAGCTGCAGCATGGCCATCACCATCGCTAGCATCCGCTCCATCATCCTCATCCCAGGGTCTTCTTTACGACCACCATCAGTGGCATCTTTCTCCGCCAACATCGTTGTCATCTACATCACCAACATTACACGGAAACGACACTTACAATTCTGACGATGACAACCATCGAAGCTCCGCCCGGACCCTGAAATTCCTCTGCCGCTCCCACCATCAGAGGCTTCAGAATGAGATCTTGCCAAATGCGCGAGGTCAAGTGCCAATCCTTGGCTGCGCGAAGATCTAGCGCCTTGAGGGTCAGGGGCTGCTACCAAGGTATCGGTCTGGGATGCCCTCTTGGGCTTGGAGCATCACCTACATACACCCATTGCTCAGGCCCATGAAAGTTAGATCAGCCTGCGAGTTTTCCATTCACCGCCTCGGATCTTCTCTGCGCAGAAAAGTATCGTGACGGCTCGTCTCCCTTCAAAAGCCGCCTGCAACCCTTCTTGTAGGTCCAACTTTCGGAGAGCCAAGTGTCCAACATTTCGAGCAAGTCGAAGGCTGACTTTGTGATGACCATCTGCGTAGCAAGCTTTGGTGGGGCTTTGGGTCTGGAGTTCATGACGATGTGTAGCTCTCCCTGCCGCTGCGAGGTCGATTAGCTCCAGCCAGGCAAAACTCTGCAGAACCCTCACCCTCACGTGCTACATGAACAGTCTGTACATGCGCTGCAGTGTTGTCTGAATCCAAAACCTTCATAGCGCTCCTAAACCCGTATAGCTCATTAAGCACTGAACCCTGATAGTAGCTGGACAACTAAATCCACATGCGGTGCCTTGCCCTCCACGTCCAGCCCGTCGAGCCTGGGTGGGACGACTCCGGCAGCTGGAGAGGTGGTGCCGCGATGCCGATCGATTGATGTTTATGGGCTTATGGGTTACTTGCCTGGTACACTCCTATGGGTTTCGGGCTTCATACCCTCACGTTTCGGCAATAATTTCTGCCGGCGCTCACTCTTGCTTCGGGTCTAGGGCTTAGGTTTTACAAGTTTCGGGATGAAGTTTGTGTTATAGGTTGAGAAAGGTAGAGGGGTCATGTAATTAGTAGTTCCGCGGCCAACTAGATTCCTAGAGCTCGAATTCCAGCAAGACCACATGAAACTTCCGCGAAAACGTGCATACCGGCGAAGGAACTATGTCCGTCTCCACCTGCCACCGGCCGTCCCGTGTGTCCTGCTAACCTTCCCGCCCTACAACCAATTCAATTTGGCAGCTGATGGGCACAGAGGATCATCCCTAAACCCTAAAACGCAATAGACCCCTGCTCCGGATGTGGGGCTTGCGGGCATCCTACCCACCAGAGGTTGCGGTAATCACCCGAACGGGGCCGGGTCCCAAACAGAAAGTTCCCGTGGCTGCAAGAGCAGAAGTTGCCGTTGCAAAGCGATGAAACTGCGCAGCGTAGATTCAGAAGCAGTAACGTCCGTGTACCCTTGCCGCGACGTCTTTTTCATCTCCGGGTCACTGTCAAATCAAGCTTCACCCCTGGCTCGCCCGGCTTGCCAGATTTCTGGTGTTGTGCTGGGTTTATCACCTGGGGTTGAACAACTCATAGGCTAGGCTTGTAGGCTGGGTGTCTGTCTCATAGGGGGGCGGGGCTCGAAGTCCCAAACATCTCCAACCTCTCAGCTTAGCGGCATGGCGAAGACGTCGTTCGACTCCAAGCCGGCTGCCGCAAGGGCCTTCGTTACAGCCGTGAACTCAGTAAACCTGATCAAGTGCAGCCTTTTTGCTTGCGACGTTTCCAAGTGCAGAACCCACATGGCAGGGTGTGAAGTGGAATATGCGGCGAGCTGAGTGAAATGCGGCTACAGTGCACGAGCTCAGGGGAAAAAACATTGAGCGATAGAAAGCCAGTCCACGTGGGGCGCGGCGCGCTCGTCCCCTCTGTGAGCCTGGTAACCCCCCCTTCCGCGAGTTCCTGAACGTAAGGATTTGCCCCCGGAAGCTCGCAGCTTTCTGCCACCGCAATCGGGCAGGGATGCTTGAAACGGTGCTTGTCCTCGTCGCCCGGTTCCCAGGATTCTTTCGTCGCACAACTCGGTCGCCACCAAGCAGGTCTCTGCGACAACACCGATGAAACTGAATCTTGGATCAGAAGTTCGGACTACAATAATTCTTCTTTATAGGCCCTATTTTCCCCTGTGCAGACATAGTTTAGGTTTAGGGACTACACCAGCAGTCGGCACTCACTCAGGAATCTGCAGGGCTCTAGGTCTGCGCTTCAAAATTCGTACCAGCTCTCGGCTTCACACTGACAGCGGAAAAACTCAAGGGCCTCTAAGGGCTTTGATGGAAGATAGCGGCCTGAGTAGTTAGAGTAGGTGATTAGTCACATTTAAGTCGGACGCCTCTGCCCCGTATATTACAGAGTTGAGCATTGGAGGTTCAGATTTGGAGCGGCGGTGTCTGACCCGAACAATGCACCCCGCCGTTGAAAAAACTCCGAACCGAACCGCACACAGTCAAATCGCATGAGCGATTACATGTGCAGTGTTCTGCCCACGTTAACTGGTGATTGCTATTGTGGCTTGCTGCTGCCAGTGCTACGAAAATCTGCCGGTGAGGCCTCTTTGACTTGGCCCTCTGCACCAAACATGGCCTGGCCGTCCCGAAGCACATGAGGTTGTTGTACAGCCGGGTTGCAAGGCACCTATAGAATGACGATATGTGGTCACCAGTGTGCATAGCACCCAAAACCCACAAATCCGCCAAGGCCCCTGAAAATGGGCTCTGGGGTCCATATCCTCTGCAACCCCCTCTGTGCAGGAAAGGGATGGAAAGAGAGGATGTAGAAGCAGTCTGTAAGCCTACGGAAGGCTCTTGCAAAGAACCCGCTGAGTCGCCCAACCCGGTCATCTCGTGGAATGCTATCATTGCTTCATCTGCCAACAGTGTTACACCTGCTGTAAAACAAGCTCACCTAGCAAAGGACATGCTAGAAGTCGGGATCCTGATGAGGGCTGGAAGACACTGGCGAGAAGCTGAATACCCTAGTCAGCAACACCCGGGTGCAGCGATGTCGGAAGAAGAACGGTGGTTTGGACTGTGGGGTGTCCTGCTCAAGGTGAAAGTTCAACTCCACAAAGCCCGGGAGATACAACTTAGTATAAATGACATATGTAGTTTCTCTTGGTTAAATAGAATAGATCCAACCCGAATTCTGCGCACTCTGCGAGTTCTCCCGAAAGCAATTCCGGCCCGGCCTCCCATTCGTACTTCACCTGGCAAGGGGTGGGCTTAGGGCTTTACTTAGGGTGTAGGGGTGTAGGGTGGGAATGCAAAGTCATAGAATCAGAGGCGGCCATTAATCAATGCTTTCTTTTCTGCCCGGCGAACCGGCTGAAGAAATCGAGTTGGATGGTGCTGAGGTTCAGGCCCAGATTTAGCCACGGCATAGCTATTTTAAATTTTCCCCTCTCGCACGGCGAGGATGATATCTTTAAAACGACGTCATTGTGCCCGTTCCCACTGCACTTGTCACTATGCTAAGACATTACGTCTTATTGGAGTAGTTGCGGGCATCATTCAAGAATCATCTCGTAGGTGTAGAGGCTTTCAGTCGGAGTTGGTGGTTTGGAGCTGCGATAAGCCTGGCTGGCCTCGTCGGGACCCGGGAGTCGCGTGTGTTTCAGTGTGTAGCAGCAGTCTAATGTTAAAGTCCCACATTATCATGAATATGGTCTCATGTGGCTGGTCGAGGGGCTCAACTTCCTGAGCCAGTGACTTCTTGAACAGCGATTTCGCTGTATCATGCTACATTACGTGTTCGGCTCTATTCGGACCCTTCGGGAAGGGCTTTGCGTGGAGTCCCAGTGGCATGTTTTAGTGAAACCACAATCTTGAACAGCCCTCCAGTCCTCGAAACCTCAAAAAAAGGCCTGCTTGGAATGAGAGGAATTCCGTCCGGTGCACGATGCCACCAGAGTGGTTGGTGTCAATCTCCAGGAAGGCTTGCTTGAGGTTGTCGAAATGGTACTCCAGCCTGACGCTTCACGGTGTCACTTCTCCTGCCAATCCTCTTTTTGATGCTGCTGCTGCTGCTGCTACTGCTACCGCTACCACACTTCTGCCCCTACTTCTTCTCCTACTACTACTTGCGGGGACGACGACGACCTACCATTTCTAACTACTGGAACAAGGAGCCACGACGACGACGGCGACGACGACTACTGCTAGTGCTACTGCGACTGCTACTACTGCTACAGTACCACTTTTACCACTACCACTACCAGTACAACTATGACTACTAATAGTATTAGTAGTAGTAGTAGTAGTAGTAGTAGGAGTAGTAGTAGTACTACTACTACTACCACTACTACTACTACTACTGCTACTACTACTACTACTACTACTACTACTACTATTAACTGCTACTACTACTACTACTACTACTACTACTACTACTACTACTTACTATTAACTGCTACTACTACTACTACTACTACTACTAGTCCTGCTGCTGCTGCTGCTCCTACTGCTCCTGCTCCTCCTACTCCTACTTCTCCTACTGCTCCTTGTCCTCCTCCTGCTCCTGCTCTTACTGTCTAGTCCTACTAGTTCTAGTACAAGAACGGATGACGGCAACTACACTTGCAGATGAAGGAACTCGTAAGTTGCTATGAGGCCGCAGCAAGAAAGCCTTCAATCCTAAAGCAGGGATGCTGAAGCCGCCTGCATGCCTGTGGGAACAGCAAAAGATCAGAACGGTGTCAGCTATTTCGCGGTGTCAGCCTCCGACAAAACGCAACCCTGAAATCGTGGAACACGGATCACAACGAAATCCGGAAACTGCGAACACACGAAACCTGCATATGAACCCGCCGCATGGAAGTTGCCTACTCCGACTTAGCGTGTAACATGCAGGGTCATGTTTGTCACAAGCAGGGTTGCCGGAAAGTTGCGAGCACTGGTTATGCTGAACACTCACTACAGCTACAGGCCAATCAAGGCCATGCAAGGTCCCTATCAGACGGGTGCATATTTTTACCCATGATCCTTCAAATGCGTTTTGGGACAAGTGTGGCCAGAGGGTGGCTCATCAACAAATCGGGCAAAGAGCCTCTGGTTCCAAATGCCTAATACAAAAAGAGAACATCTAAACAAATTTGTTGAATCAGGCGCTTCGGCTTGGGGTTCCCGTTCATGATCACATTTGTGGTGTGTCATGAGGCCTAAAACCCCACAGTCTTCGTTTTCAGAAGATCTGAGAGAACTAAGTTCCAAGCAGGTTCTTCAAGCGCAGCCATTTGAGCATGGTGTCAGGCCGCTTAAACCACGTCTTCTTCTTCTCGTACTGCACCTGGGATTGCTGCTTGTGCCCACCTTACATTCAAGCAATAATGGTTGTTGTCCGGGGATTATCAGAACCGGTTCTTCTGACTAGGCGGTCGCACATGCGTATATATATATATATATACATATATATACATATATATATATATGTGTGTGTGTGTGTCTATACACACATCTATATGTATACAGATTGTATGCAATGTATATATACATATATGTATACGTGATCATATATGTTTCTGTATATTTGTATGTTTGCCATCCGCCTCGACTGGAAGACATTGAGTCTCGGAAAAATGGACACAGCGGATTTGGAAGAGGCACGTATTCGTAGCTGATGACATTGTGCTGGTTGGCCAGGTAGTCGATGGTTTCTTGAAGCCGCCGGCTCAACTGAGCAAGTGACATGCTCTGACTGCTCGGAAAGAGGGAGAGCCAGAGCGGTTGAAAGCCCCGACAACCGCCTACTGCCCCTAAGCCTACCCTGCACCCCATACAGGCTTTCAGCAACCACAAAATCTGGCAACTTCGGGCCAGGCGCACACATGCGACATGTTTCAAGCCAAAAGGAACCCTATGTATGTCCCCAAAATAAATTTCGGCGAACCCAACTTCGTCGCCGTGAAACCAGATGCAAGCAACACTTCCTTCGTATGCGCATGTAAGAGAAAGAAAGCTTGTACAACCCGAAATCGTAGCAGGGGTTCGGATGTCAGGTAGCATCTACAGCAGCATATCTGACTTCGGGAAGGGAACTGCATGGGTGCGTTCATGCCAATATGGACCCCTGCTGCAACTGGCTGACAACCTCATGCCAGGACAGCTGTCGCCAACATGGGCCCCTAAAGAATCAAGCAGGATGCTCTGTACCGCGTGCTGCGCGGCTTTCAAGGCCCATTGGTATTAGTCGGCACTTGTATCGACCAGGCTCGAGCAAAGATGAGGCTAGAAGTTGTTTTTCGATTGTTGGGCTTTTTGCAGACAGTAGTCTCTGATGAAGCACAACTGAAAAGGCTACGTGGGGGAGAGGGTGCTAAGACTCTTAAGACCATAAGGATTGGTGTGTGATTGTCTGGGGCTCAGAACGTGATAGCAGGTTATCGGCTTCTGCTGGGCTGTCTTTTCCCGGTATGGTTGCGCAAAACGGTCAACGCTACGTTGCTGCGCACGAACGGTTGCGATTTCTGGTGCTGACAACGGGTACTGTTGCTTGACAGGCCCTGAGCAAAATTACCTCGAACCCTGTCGACCGTTAACCCCCCCAATACGACTGGCAAGGCAAAGTTCCACGCCGCAAGTGCCGAATCAAACTTCATCTGTACATGTGGGAACACATCACCTCGGGAGCTGATGTAGGGGCCCGCGGGAATAGGGACTCAAACCCCCTCGTCATCGACATCGTCCTCCTCACTAATAGTCAGTACCACTACCTGCATCATCCTTACCGTCATCCTCATCATCGTCACTACCACAATCATCGTCGCTATCCCAAGTCCTACGGCCGCCTCCACCTGATGATCGTGGTCACTGAGCTTCTTGTACATCTCCTGCAAACATCTGAAGTAAAAAACAGCATGCAAATCGGAATGCGGGTGAGTACTGTGCGTGTGGGCATTGTGCTTGGACACACAAGAACACCTTCCCGAAACTGCAGATAGATTCATGAAATTAGATTCAGAAGGGTGCAGATCAGAGCAGCGAGCTTTGCTTTCCCGTAAATCTAGGGCCCTGCCCTAAGTCCCAATCCCTATCAAGCCCTATGAGCCCCTACCCCTACCCTAAACCGAGGTTGAACCCTGGAGGACTTGCAAAGTCAAAATAATACACCCGAGGGCCCCGCGATGGCCAAGTCAAGGGCCGACTGCCTGGGTTGGCGCTTCAGGGTCCCAGGTTTAAGGTGCTATATATATATATATATACACACACACATACATTTACATATGTGATACGTATATGTATATATATATATATGTATATGTGTGTGTGTGTTATATGTGTATGTATGTATATATATATATATATATATTACACATAGATGAGTATCGGTTTAGGGCTCAGGGCTTGGACTCTCGCAACTCGGACTGCCCATCAGGGTTCAGGGCATAGGGTTTCTCTGCCTTGGTACACACCTTTTGCCTTCTTTTCGTTGGCAGGGGGAGGGGGGGAAAACACAAAAGGGTTCAGGTGCTCGGGGCTACAGCGTCGAATTTAGATACTAGGGTACCAGGGTAGTGGCGACTAACTACTCGATGCTGCGGAGTTTTTGGCTTTCCCTTCTTCTGTTCTTAGCGGGCCAAACAACTGGCCCTTCTTCTCGGGCGTGGTGCTTTGACACACAAGACACAAAAGAGTCGCAGAGAGCTTGATTGGAACAGCGAGGTAGGCTGGTCAGCAACAGCCTCCGATGGGCCTTCTTCAGGAAAGGATGTTGCTTATATTGTGTTAAGGGCTATGAAGCGAACTTTGAAGGCCATCGGTACCTTCGAAGAGCAACAAGCATGCGGCAACAAACTGGACTACGCGCCACCGCAGTATTACGATAGACTGATCCCAGCAGGTCAACAAGATTTGGAGTCTCTGCATGTGGCAAGGCTTCATACTCTGAAATCGGACGGCCATACCCCACGCCCTAAATCCTGACCTGCCCTTTTTTGCATTAGGGTTAACCCCATGTCTGAGCACGAGCTGACAGGTCCCAGCATCTGGCCCATTGGGCATCTCAGCAGCCCTTTTCTTCGCGCGCTGATGTTTGCAGTTCGCATTCGCGAGCATTAGAGGTCCTAGGGAACGAAAATTTCCTATACCCCGCGCAGCAATAGCTGTGCGTAGCAATTGCCTTCTAGGTGACACAGGCATTCCACACCGTAGCCAACATCTTGCAATCCATTTGGGCGCAAGTATGTATATGCGACGAAAACTCCCGTAATCAGCAGCGATACAATCAAAGCTGCGTAGGCTCTGGATGATCCGTGCACTTGGCATTCAACGGAAATTTCTTCGAAGCAGCTCATCACTTGGATCTCAAAGTTTTTGCCTAACAAGGCATTGTGAATCAAGCCGTCCACCTCAATGAGGAAGCCAAGGGCCGTGCAGTTCAGCACAAGATCCAGCAAGTTGTTGGTCATCGCCAGAAAGAAGCAGCCAACGACCATGACGACGGAGGCGATGACAATCCGTGGCAAAGCTATGCATGACAAGGCGAAGATCTTGTGGCCAATGGGCAGCTTCATCACGGTGAACTTCGAGCCGGATTCGGCCACAAAGTCGGGGTCCGAGTTATCGGTTGACCGTGTGTTCCAAACCACATAAACGAAGTTGTAGATCATGCGATATTCACTTATCATCAACATGACCCACACAAAGACCAGCAAGACGAGGAACGTGATAAAGACACGACCGAGAATCGAATCAGCTTCTCCTCGATATGTTTTGACAGCAGCATAGCTTACGATGTTGACCCCATCTCTTCTTTTGAAAGATGCCTGGCCACAAATATCGTGAAACTGGTGATGGATCCAGACGTAGTCTGTCCCGAAGATCTTTTCGCAAAAGGTCTCCAGAATGTTCGCGCACTTGTCTGCACGCTCTTGATTGTGCGCGCCGTCGACCATCCCATGCAGCTGACCGGAGCCTGCGAGGTTCCCACACAAGTTCTTGTCGCTGGCCACACACGTCTGGATCTCACCCTTGTAATGCTTGAAGAAGTCCTGAGCACAGCCAGCACTATCTCCAACAACTACCGGGGGACTTTTCGCCAAGCTACAAGTATCTGAAAATCATGGCAGACCAAGATTCCATGTCCAGCCTCGGGGAGCCTTTGGACACACTGCGCGAGCCGTCACGGTTCTTCTCATCATACACGGCCATGTTGAACATGGTGTTGTTGATTTCCTTGGCCATGGTGCTCCCAAGGCTCCCAAGAAGCTCCTGTCGATCCTTCACTTCTTCGACCGACCAAAACCCATCATTGTTGGTATCCACACTCTCAGGGAAAATGGACAGTGTGAGCACCGGCGGAGTGCAATCAAAATCAGAATCCGAGGGGTCCTGCAAGCCTGCCCAACTCCGGGGATAGACAAGTCCAATAAATTCGGGGTGGCGCGACACTCTCCAACATGTAGTGCCCATCAAGCTGTCCCTGATGGATCCATAGGTCTGATCCCCCACCTGATAGATCTTGAAGGCTATGGATAGCTGGGTGAAGATGTTGAGCAACATGAAAACACTCACGAGGCGGTAGTCGGAGAACCTTGGGCCGGCTGTGGCCCTCCCCTCCGTCCTTATCCGGTCCAGCTTGTAGAACAGTGGCCCGAACAAGGAATCCAAGTAGATGTTGGCTTCCAGGGGGATCCAGGCTGCGCTGATAGCTAAGGCTTCCCTCCCCATCGGACCTCTTGCCGTCCGAGCCCTTTCTCAAGGGACGATCCTCTGGGACCTCTGCCTCTGCATCGAGGAATCGAGCCGAGCCCTCCCGAATTTCTCTACTTGTTCCCATCATCGGCTCGATTGGAGCCGAAATCCTGCATGGGGATGAACCGATTCCTGCCGTATCTCGCCTGGAATCCAAAAGGAACGCCCTTTACAAATGCTTCTCGCGAGAAACAGGCAGCGTCGTTGAACCACCGGTTTTAGACGGTTACGTTCAGAGCTTAGTAAACTCAAGCATCTACAGCTTCCATAACCCCTTCTCTTTTCAAAGCTCGAAACCCCTAACTTGACCCGCTTCCCATCCGCGATCTGCGCCACACAACTCTTAGAGTGGACAGCGGATGTCGCCTTCAGGACACATAGGAACGCACATGACACAGTATCGAAACTTTTGTGGTGCGTGCATATCTTAGAGTGCGAGGTTGTCAGCGACGCCTGGAATGTGCCGCCCAGCCGTACCGAGACTAGTGCATGCAAGATGCTGGTGGTCGTTCACGGCGTGAAGATCGGCCCCATTGTCTACCAAGACCTGGCATGCCCAGCGAGACAACAGTCTGTTTCTGAAGCTGCCAACAGTCAGCCCCCAATCTTCTTTGACAAGAGTGCATGCGTCATCGTACCAAAGACGTGCTGCTCAACAAGCAAATTTAGCACGGTAAGGTGTGCAACATGCAGGCGACAATAGCTACTGTGACGCAGAGACAAAACATGTCCCACAACGCCACATACGCTTGGAGCAAAACGTGTTAAACCTCCATGGTCCGAACCCAAAACATACTTCCATCAAACAGGTTGAGCCTGGATGACTTGCCAGTGCCCGTGGATTGCAGCCAAGTGGACGGCATTGCCTCCTTTTGGGGTTTCGGGTGCGACGCAGCTACACCGACATGTCGAAGAAGTTCGACGCTGCACTATACTGTGAACGGCCAACAGGCCGCAGCTCTAACCCGCAAACCCCCGGACCAGCTATGAGTAGTGGAAACTAGGGCAGTAGGCCAGAACCATTGTTCTAGCCTGATACCAGCACAGCAAAGCTCGTGCAATGCTGTAATGAAGGTGACGAACGGTCCACTGTGAAAGCAACCATTCTTCTATTCAACCCTTGAGGCTACCAACTCGAAGCCGGGGTTGTGGATCCAAAGCCCAAAACCGTAAACCTCCACGACACACAGCCGAGCGCCTCTGTCATCCCGGACTCTGGCGATGACACTCTCCTTGTCTCCACAGACCTCGGCGGCTCTGGTCCCTGACAGACGGTCAACATCATCCAACGACAAGAGATAGAAAATATACATAAAATGGGAATCATACTTAAAGATAACATTTGAAAGAAATCTCAAACCTTAAAGTACTACATATTCCTGCCAGTGTGACTTATGCCGATTATCTGGAATACTGTCATCAAGAGATACGAAAAGTCTACATAGACCCGAAATTGCAGACGCGAGTGCTGTCCGCACGTCTACCTACCAGAAACGCCATGCAAAATCCATCGAGCAGAAGTACCTACCAACAATCGGCAACACCCAAAATCTCAAAGTGCGTTGCGTAAACGCCGAAATCTTGTTGCGTCATGTGGCTGCCAGGCAAGCCGCCACCAGATCGGTAATGCCTGACATGATTGCCTCGCAGGTCGGTAGCTGCGGTTGAGGCCCTAGCTCTTGAGTCTGATTTTGGGGAAAGTGCAGCAAGCTCAAAACCGGTTTCGTGCGCGTGTGATGGGTCATATATAAGATGAAGACTTAACCTACACGTGTTCCTTCGTTGGACGACCAGCAAAAAAACAACAACCAGCAGCAATAACTAAGTGACTTAGGAAAATACCCAGCTAATACATGTAACAAATGCATGTGACACCGCAAAGCCCGAAACCAGATTGTCCCCCAAAAACCAACCATGCAAACAAGCAGTTTTTTAACCACAGCTTTTGCAAAGTCCTCTTACAGTTCGGTGTTCGTCGCCTTCGAGCTGGGGCAGGACAGAAGCTCCTTCCCGGACTGTGACTCGAATTGCAGGTGTTGGGTGCCATCATCCTTCGTCACTGTGCGAACACGCGCCTTTGTCATGTCTGAGGAGCTGGAGAAGGTGAACAGACAAGCGTCTTGGCACGAGTTTGGATGTGGACGATTACTCTGCGCGTAATGCTCCGTCACAGAACCCTTGTCAAGGAACTCACCAACTCCGAACAGCTTGCGCTTGCCCTGTGCGCGCACTGTGCCTTGGTAAAGGATTGGCATCCACCGTGGCGTGGCCGGATCTACCGCCCATCGGCTGTCCATCACCATGTCGGCATTCTGCTTCAGGTCAACGACCGTCCTCACATCGAGATCGAGGGTTCCATACGGAGACGGGCAGTCGAAGGACAAGAAACCCAGGGCGACCGTTGGCGACAAGATGGCAACGATGCCCAGAGCCACCAGCATCGGCACCTCTGGCAGCTTCCCGTTCCTGCGAACGTATGGCTACAATTGGAAGAACCACGCAAGCTGCGGAACGTAGGCAAGACATGCACGAAGCACCTGCACCGAGTAATGCCCACAAACCCTCGACCTTCAGGAATGGACTTTGGCTGGGACTGCTGGATCCACTTCGGGCTGTTTCTCGGGTAGAAAATGTATCCATGAAGCAGGGATCTACCAAGATTAACTACTCCATGACCGACACTTCGACACGCTCTACCCCAAAAGCAGCCCTCAGCCCTGTCTGCACGAGCAAAGCTTTGTTATTTATCACCTTATGATCCAGATTCTACGAATTGGTGGCTCCTTTCAAGAAAGGGGTGCATTGTCTACGGGAGGTCTAGCAACAGTTTAGAGGTCTCTTCGAATACGATTCGACTATGTTGGGTCTATATTAGAATATTAGAGCCTCTCATTGGTTCAAACTCGCGCATTGCCCGTTGCTACCGCTGCACCTAGACCTAGTCTACTTCGGACTCTGTATGTAACATGCAGTTTCCATCATTGAGCATACCTATTGCCGATTATATACAAGCTACATACGCGCTGAATTTGCGACCATGCGTACATACATACCGACATACATACTGGCAGCATGTGCGCGTGGAAGTCTCCTGTTCGAAATCAGAACCTGAAGTCACCTGCTGCAGTGGTTTGGGCTTGGGGCTTCCCAAAGTGAACCGCAGCTGCAACGTGCCACCCAAGCCGGAACTCACCGGAGAACTTGCTCTCGGCCTGGTATAGCCCTTTTGGCATTGCCTGCGACCGCTAGCAGATTCGAGACAGAGGCTGGGGACCATTCGGGGCGCGAGGGGGGAGGGGGGGCGTGCTTCAACATGACAGAAGACAAAGGACAGATCGCAGCAAAGCACCCTTCTCTCACGAGGGGGCAACTGATTATTCATTGCTGGCTGAAACATGATCATTGCTCCAACCTCAATCTCGATCGCAGTCCACATGACCACGAGCTTGTCCAGGTCACGTACGAGATCCTGCTGCCAAAAAGACCCACAAAGATCTCTCAGCAGCCACAGGCGCTCCTGAAAAGAAACCTTAATGATTAATGGACTCGTCCGCGTATTCTAGCTTACTGGTTGGAGCCGCCATGCCAGGCTTCTTCTGATATTTTGGTGCACTGCAGCGACTACTCGAGAATACAGGACGCCAGTCCTAGGGGCCTCAAAGGAGCAGTAAAAAACGAAGACCCTTCCGTACTGGCTGTCGCAGAAGGTCACGTTGGCCCAGTCGGTTGACAGGAGCTCGTTTTTATGTCGACAGCCGCTCCGGAAAACCAACCAACCTTACAGGTTGTTGATTCAGTGGTGTTAGCATTCCGGCTGCATGGGCAGGTCTTGCCCAGTCGAGATTCAAAGCTTCTGCATGACGTCTCGGACAGAAAGAATTAGTATGTGCGCGCCACAATCGGGCTGTTCAACTTGCTGTGGAAAGCATGCACAGCAATGTGGCATGTAACGCTCACTCCCACTGCGCCCCGACCTTGAGCAATGCCGGGATGGGACCTGGCTCCGTTCGAGCTGTGGTACATTGTAGCTGGCTGTCACAACTTAGCCAGATGGAGGTCCCTCAGCATCCGAGTACCTTTCGGGGCTCTTATGCTCTATTAATCTGGTGCCTGACAAAGCCTTTTGCAGCAGGCTTCTCTCGCTAAACCCTGAACTGCGCGACAATCCTAAACCAATCCTAAAATCGAAACATGTCGAAATTCCCGCGAACTGAAACGGTAGCGAACCCACCCCGGCAGAACTTTTCTTCGAAACGCCGTCGGGAAGCCTTCCGGTCTCCTCACGCTATTGTGCGTAGACAATTGCTGCGATGCGGGCATCGGCCGGCTGGGGCTTCACGCAATGGTTTTGTAACATGTATTCTACTGGCTGTCAGCACCTCGGTCTTCACACTTCTGATGACTTTAGCGAGCCTCCAAATCACACTGTGTGATGCATTCTGGTTTGACTTAGGGAACGGAACGAACAATACACATACATACTGAATACTATCATAAGAGTCCAGATCTTGCTCTTGCCTCATCAATCCGTCTGGTCGGTTACCATCCTCGCACCTAATCTTGGAAGCAAGCAATCCCTTCGACACCTCAAAAAGCCTTCAAACTCTTGTTTTTTTTCCACCTGACTAGTTTTCCTTGTTGCCAGTTCAGGTCACGAACTACAGCTGCCAGTTTACCCTCAACCCACAAGCATAGTAAAACCCCAGCCGCCCCAACCCACGTGCAGACAAGCGCGCAAGGAGACCGGGGCTGAGGGGAACCGGGCTTGTACCACAACAGGCGGGGAATCAAACCATGTTGCGAGCGTCTAGCAAGAGCAAGTGGATGCGAACGGCCACGCTGGTCCATACTGGTTGCCGACGTATGATGCTTTGAGGCACAGTGATGATTGTCGTCTGGCGAAACCTCGAACCTGTTCGGGGAGTGCTGCGTGAGTGTGAGTTTCACCGTGGAAGGTATTTCTCAAAATTCTGGGTAATGGTCGAAAGGTACACGCACCTATACGCAAGTCACGAGAAATGAACGTAGCACCCTGCGGCTCCATCAACATCCTGGCCGCTGTTTAATCTTCGTACTGCTAGGGACCCAGAAGTTAGTTACACCCTTCGCCCGTAAGGAGTCCTGCACAGCCCCTTAACCGTTAATCGTGGAAAGCTTTCGGGAGCATGCACGTCCAAAAGCGGGATGAGGCAGGTCCCCCTATTGTCTGAAACAAGCTTGAAGTGGTTTGCGCCGACGATTGGCTGATGCTTCAGCTAGCATTTTCCGGAAGGGTTGATGACGAGTTGTTGACAAATTTTACAGAATTTCGGTCAGTCTTTCATGTGCCAACTTGTGGTAGAAGCACAGGAGTCCATTGTGCAAAAGGAATGGAAAATTGAGCTTCAAGCTTTACGTATCCATACGTAGCAGGTTGCAACCTGGAACCAGTTTTCATGGGCTGGATCAAAAGCTCCAGCTCCTGAAATCGTAAATCAATTGGCAGTAGCTCGAGTGCATTTGGTGTGTGATGATACTTTGGTCTTCTGATGTATGTGGCCGTTTCCTCGCCGCGATCCCTGCTGAAACGAGAAACTGCGCTTGAAAGGCTCACTCCAACCGACATCCATGCTGTTTCAGGAAGGCCCCAACCTTGCTCTGGATTTCAGCTGCTTCCTTGGTCATTGCAAGGAACCGTTTATGTCTGGCTTCGTTTCACGGGTACACATTGTACGTACCTTTGGCTTGGAGAGAGAACCAACGATGAATCGATGAAGACATCTTCTCATTGACTGCACGCACTTTCCGACCTGTGGAACACCTCTGGTTAGCGACCTTCCAATGGGAAGTGCTACAGATAACAGGGATGCGGCTAAAAACCACTAAACACAAGTTACATACTTACACTTTCAACCCTCAACATTAACCCCTGGCCGCTTAACTCCAAAGCCTTTACGAGATCGCCGGAGCATCGAGCCCCTCCAGGCCCCCCTGGATGACTGGCTCGGCGAGTGGATCGGCAGCTGTTCCCAAGTATCTGGGCTGTGGTAAAACTATTGGGTTCTTGAATTCAGTGTCAAGAGAATTGATTGAAGTGGCCTCGGCAAAAAGTCTCCCTGTGTCCGTTACTATTTGCAACAATTTCTCGAAATCCGGTCCCTGCGCCCTATTATTTACACAGCGTGCTCTCGGCACACGTCTCCCGCTGTGGTGCTGCAGTGCATACTTTTCGCCGGCACCCGATTATTTGTGGAGGATTGGCCTGACGCGCGCGCCCAGACCCAACATTCCTGAAAAACCATACAACATGGACACTTTTGGCTCTCGAAAACTGCAGCACCTGGGGGAAACGATTCAGGGTGTTTCTCTGGATCGCGCAAGCTAAGGGGGCAAGCATCGAGCATAGGTGTCCTGCTTCCGAAATGCGCCGGTACATTAATACAGGGGCCTTTATAATTGGAATAGGGTCTGGGGGTATATGATACTAAAACTATAATGAAGAGCCCCCAAAATCCTATTCTAATGATTAAGGCCCCTACATTACCTCGAGCAAAGCAGTTTCGCGCCGGTCCGGGGCCGCCTCGTGGACTCTCGCGACTCGAAGAATGCAGGCGAGGCTGATCCAGGTGCGAAGGGGAAAGCGATGCCACTGTGCTCTCGAACGTCTCTGCATCCCGCCAGTACTCGGGGGAAAACATTTTGGCAGTGTCCTGGCGGTCTCTTGATGGTCTCCTGGTTGTGGTCGTCACTTGCTGGTCTCTTGGTCGTCTCTTAGTGGTCTCCTGGTCCTGGTCCCTGTGCAGAGCTCGTCGTGGGTGGTAGCATAGCGTAAAGGATCCCACAATGAATGTCTGCTCCGGTTCTAGACCGCGGGTTGCGATTGCACTTCGTTCCGGAGGGTCAGGATTGTCAGAAGTGTGGCACATTGTTATTGAGCGGTCCCTTAAGCAGGCCTGCTTGCACTGGTCGGGCTGGCCTAAGTCCAGTGACTTCGGTCGAGGTTTTGTGGTGTCACGAACATTGCTTTTGAAGCACGACACTGGCGATAAGCTGTTTGCAAGTAGCAACAAAGACAACCTGCGACAGCGACAAGACCAACACCCACTGGAGATCGAAGGCAAAAGTCTACTGTTGACAGCGACCGTCAGGATGATCACGAGCAGTCTTCATCCGCGTCTTCGCTGATTCCCAATCCTAAAGGTCCTATAACTTTAAACCTGCAACATAGACAAACAATGGCTAACACTCACTACCATTCGCCATGATCCATACATATTCTCTGCGCATCATGACTGTTACCATACCGAATACTAGCAAACTGGCTGTCCAGCAACGCCAGGGTTGGGACCGCCGCCAGACCCCCATGGGATGGAGTCTCCCGCCAGCGCAGGTCGGAACGCAAGGGGTGAGCTGAATCCTTCCGACGGAGCGGCGTCGGGTTTGGAGGCTTGACGGTGATGAGGGGTCTGCCACTTCAGGATTCCTATGAGGAATTTCTACAAGGATTCCACCTGGATTCAACTTTTCCGTGCATGCATGCGCATGCCCAATTTCCAATCCATCTGAGCAAGTGCAAGCCCCCAACCTAGGAAACGAAACTCTTCCTAAAAGCGCTTGCTCTTCTGCCTTCCATTCCTCCCGGGTCTTGCTCACGATGCACCTCAGCAGGATGGGTTCTTGAGGTCAGATTTCGTTCCGTCTAGCAAGAGGTTGTATGGGGCCGGGGTCAATGTCGTCGGCTTAGACTTCCTTTTGACGCTCTTCTCGGTTGAGGTTGGGTGAGTGATGTAAGTAAGGGGCCCTCCCCCTTTTCGCATCTGGTTTAGTGTAGGGAGCCCTAAGCCTCAAAGTCCTAATTCCGCCCCAATGTCTTGCACGGAAACCTCGAGCCCTCGGGTCTGAGCGTGTTGTCTGGTGTTCTTCTGCCTGGAATCCCGGGCTTCATCACACGCTTCGAGTAGAATTCCCTTTCTAACTTCTGGTCTTTATTTTTAAGAGTGGCAGAATCTTCGGGGGATCCACGAAGCAGGACTGTAACAGAAACCAATCACAGGACTGCAACTGACATCCGAGGGATGCGAACAAGTGTATTGTGTAGGCTCACAAAGAGACGACTAGGGACTAAGGTAGTATGCAAAGTTTGCCTATTCAAGCTCCATTCAAGCCGAGATCAGTGATTTGAACGCCGCAGTCAGGAACAAACAGGAGGACTAGACTACCTACAATCAGTTGGTGCATCCGAAGTATCTCAGCGAGGTTGGGCCGGCGGTGGTGCAATAAGTTGCTTCTAAGCTCCTGGCCTCAAGTCAAGCTAGCTTGAATGCTGCAAAGGCGAAAGCACAGGCCTCCACAACAACACTGTCATGTATGGATGCCTTAGCTTGAAACAACCGTGAAACAAAAACAAATGCAGCCATGCACCGAAGAAGTGAGCCGCCCCGTACGTGCGTGGCGAAAAGGCCATCGATGACAGGTAGAGCCGTCATGCAATCCTGGAATTGATGCAGTGGTCGCTACAGTGAAGCTATACGGATTCGCATGTTTGGTTTCGGGTAGCCTTATATCGTGTAACAGGACCGATGGGGCCCATTCCGGTGCCACAAAGCTAAAGTAGACTACTTTTGCATCCTGCTCTGGTGTGCTTCATGATGGACCATGCGTCCGGACGAAGGGCCTGGCGGCTTCGGGCTTAGGGTTACTTTGCAACGGGTAAGCCCCGATGTAGATTGAAGGGACGTACTCATGGGTTCTGACAACCAACAGAAGAAATCTAAACCCCGCGGCTGGCAACGTACTGGGAAACCTTCTATGTTATGCACCAACTTGGTATGTGCGAGCCTCCAACAAAAAGGTGTGACGATGGAATGCCATCAAGAGATACAGGCTCGATGATCATATACCTGTTATTCACGCATGTATTTTGGGGCTAGTAAGTGTGCATTGCACTCGGTCTTGGCAGTGACAAGGGTAGCAGGTAGCAGGTCCCGCAACAAACACTACCTTGTGGCAAACCTTGGGCGGAAATGTTGCCATGCACACCTCGATGACATCCCGTCATGATGAGCCAAGGCCAGCTCTGGGTCAGGTGGTTCGTAGCATCTGAGCTCTGAGCCAAGATTCGGGGCACCATGGGGCTGTAAAGAGCATGAAGATCGGAGCGTGCTGATCTGAGAGGGTCTTCCTGTAGCTCTGCAAAGTCAGGTCGAGGTTGCCCGAAATGCAGCCTGCCAGGACGCACTGGCACGGATGTGAATACACACAAGCCGTGCTTAATTCCGCAGTTGGGCGAGCCTGTTCGAAGCCTGTACAACGACTTTTTGACTGGACTCCACCTCCAACTCACGTCGCATGGCAGTTTGCCATGCCTTTCTTACAGACGTAGAGTGACAACTCGAGATGTCAAAATCAGTGTGCAAATGCACAAATCATTAAACCCAAAGCCGGCGACTTTGCAGAGTGCGTGCCCTCCGACGAAGGTCTCGGTGGGCTGCTGTCTGCGGTTGTAAGGCCATGTACATCCTAGATCACAGACTACTGGCCGGCGTGTAGTTCGAAAGAAAACCCTCGGTTGAGAGTGCAGGTAGGGCTCGTTCTTTCCGGCTCGGCAGGCCGCACTGCTGTCTACACAGCAGTGAAAGAAACACACAGTGTACGATTCCAGGCAAGATGCTGTGATGCAAAGGGGGTGGCGGAGCGAAGACCCCGGTGCTGAGGTAGCGATCACCACGGTCGCAGATGATGCACACCACTACTCTGCCCGGCTCCTTGGCAGTAATGGTGCAAAACATCAGGCAGCAAAAGGTGTCTGACAGCGTTCTCGGCTCATGTCATTAGCCGTAGTGGATCAGTGGAAAGCAGACGAACGACTTTACGTGTGCTCCTTCAACTACATTACAGCAAAATGACTCTCATGAAATTGAAGCAAGAATTCATGCTTCCGCTTTCGCTGCAGTGTAATGCTTGCATATGCTTGCTTCAGTAACGGATAAGGAGTGAGCGAAGCCGTGCACCATCGCAGGCTAAAATGAAAACATGCGTTGATACGTTCGTTCTATTTCTTTCTCCTCTTGTCCAATTTGGCTTGTTTGCAATAGTGAACTAAGACGGATCGCGCGGTCAGTGTCCCCGGTTCAGTCAAAATCTGTCAAAACTAAGCTTCTTGAGGGTTGTAGCTAGGCACATCAGGAACGTATTCAAGTATTCAGCCTTTCTTACTCGTCCTAACCCCAAGCTTACGAAAGCTCCAGGTCGCCTCACGCGCGATCTTCAAGGCTGCCGAGACCGCACCGCCGCTGCTGACCCCGGCGAAGAGACCCTCCTTTTGGTTGCAGTTTGGCGTGTGATATAGGGCCAATATAGGGGTTTCATGATTCGAATATGCTATGGGGTCTGCTATACAATATTTTTTGAGAAGGACCCCAAAAATAATATTGGTAATTATGCAGGCCCCTAGAAGGTTATCGGTGCGGTCTTGGTGGCATGGGAGGTTTCCTGTTGCGGGTGCGGTCAATTCGGCCAGAAATTTCGCAGGTGTCGAGTTTGAAGATCCCGAGCAGCTTTGGTTAAGCAACGATTGCGGGGCTAAAAAGTTTCGGTGTGGGTTGGGAACTTACGACGAGTGTCGAGCGTTTACGACAAGGTGCCTTCCACATCCAGGCCTAGATCTAGACGCTCCCCAAATCCACACGCCATGTAGTGGTATGTGACTGAACAGTACACTACCGGTGCAGACTGGATTCAATTGCTTGACACTATCGGCTTTGGGAGCAGGCCTATGACGATACCATGGGCATCTGTGCATGCACAGTGATTTTCAAAGCCCGGTTGCATCCTGCCCCCAACTAGCACCCACACAAAGCTCGAAGCCTGCTGCTCAAACACCCGAAGCTGCCGGCCGAAGTCCTGGATGGCAAGCTGCCGCGCCGTCTCATCCGCCTCTTCCTCCATCATGTGGGTAGCTCTGCGGCACCCTTGTAAAAAGGATCCTAAACGGCACCCGAGTTTAGAGAACTATCCATGTAAACTACAGTATTTGCACCCACACTCAAGGATAAGGGTCTTCACGCGGTTTGTAACCCAGAATCAACGTTTTCGGATTTCGGCCGCCAACTCCAATGAATGTTCCATTCGGGGGTTGTTGTTCCGTCACGTAGTTGAATTGAACAACCTGTTGCCGAGTCTACTTGAATAACTCTGAATCTGACCTGCGAGCAACTCGTTTGAAGACTTACCCTGAATTGGACGGAGGTTCTTGGGTGATGTGCATGTCAGGTCATAGTCATAAGCAAGGTAGACGTAGCCATGATTAGGTAAAGCAAGTATAGCTTCAACTATGCCACTGTAAGCCCGGCGAAAAACTACCCTGAGGATTAGGTATAGCGATAAGTCCAAAGGCACTATAAGGCACTGTACACACCGCCTAAAAGAACATCCTGAAGCCTGGAGAGGCAGTGCCACATCGTGGTGAGCAAAGTGCATGCGACACTGATTCGCAGCAAGCCTTTGCAGACCGCTAAAGTCGGTATCGCCCGGGGCTCACAAAAAACTTGAGGAGTTCGGCATTTATACTGGCTCTTCAGGAATATACTGGACCTGGGTAATGTCTATGACGCGGTCGAGGCGAGCTTCGTCGAAAATGCCCGGCAAGTATTCCTCGGCAGTGCAGGTATTATGGAAGCTGTAGGAGCAAGTCCCGCACGGCGTTGGTTACTTTTGTCTCGGAGGCATCGTCCTCAAATAGGTCTGTCATTACGTGGTTAATACCTCAGCCCTCTGCCCCGCACCTGCTGCGCGTGCCCTACCTGTGCCGTGCCGTGGCTATTGTGGCCCGCTGTTCTGCTGCCCTGCTGCTGCCCTGTACCCTGCTCTTCCTGCACAGGCAGGGAACGGCAATGGGGAACGGGTCAGTAGGACTCAGCAGTGTTGGTGTTATGAGAAGCTATTGGAGATACAGGTCCACTGCATTTAGCATCAACGGCCTTCAACCGAATCTGCAGGGGCTGCTACTAAACGGTGCGAACTGCTCTGCGACGAAGCTCTGAACCTGAACTAGCAAATAGCAGGCGTAACCCATTCGACAGGTGTTGCCACGGAAAACACTGCAACACCAGGTGATCGAAACAAGTGGCAGTTATGCAGCCTGTGCTTTGTTGCATCACCCGGTGCAACAGCCGGACAGCCCGAAACTGATTGAAACCACTCCAAAGAAAGTTCCGCAATGCTTCCTTCGGCCACCGTCGGATGCCGGGAATTTGCGCGCCTGCTCTCTTTTATCTCGCTTTCAAGGCTATAGACATGCCTACACTGTCGACATGTTGGGGAAGGCATCGCTACCTTGCAAGTTCAGGCTTTGAGGCTAAGAACCGAATCCTAGATGAACCATAATGAATCCATGAAGCCTCAGATCTATGGCTAATTATTTGCCAACCGAAAATCCATCAGACTCATGCTGAATCTTACCGTCCTGCTTCCCTGTGACTCGAGACTAGTGCTCATAAACAAACGGACTGATATTGTGCTGGCCTCAAACCTTGAAGACTGGAATGGCGCAGCAACATGCTGAACCCAAAACTGCGAACTTTGACCAACATGCTGCAAGCCTGCTGCCCCCCCCCAACCTCTTTCAGAGTGGTTCTCTGGAGGCTCAAACACGAATCAGTTGCCAGCTAACAGCTACCATGCGAGTAGTTGGCTAAATTGGGGTCCCCTTCAGGCTCCTGTTTATAAGGGTGCCGTACTATATTGGGGATCCTAACAGGGATCCCCAATTTAGAGAGCCACCCATATGGAAGTCGTGGGAAGCCCTCCGCGCCTGCGGCCGGCTGGAGTCCCACGATCTGAACCTCGGGTTTGAACTCCTGGGCGTTTATGAACCTAGGGTTCAAACTGGCTTTGGGTTTAGGGTGTAGGGCTTGAGGGGCTTATAGGGTTTAGGGTGTATGGCTTGAGGGGTCTAGGGTGTCAGCACTCACTCTCGGACTTGCCCAGGCGAGAACAGAAACGGCACGTATCACCGCTTCAAAAACATCAACTCCCCCTCAGCATCAAGCTTTACAGGCACTCCAAGGTCTAGCACGCAGCATCAAACTCCACTGACACTTCAAGGTCTAGCATTCCCGTTCCGCTCACACAATTTCACAAGTACTCCACTGGACAGCATTGTCTCGCTAGCAGACCTTACCGGCAGCGTGTCTTGCAGGCAATTTTGGCGTCAGAACTCGTGTAACACCAACCATGTCATACAGCAGGCAGCAGCATAGCATCCACCGTGTGTAGTCCATGCATCGTGTAGTCCATGCATCGGCTCCCCATGTAATCTCATGTGGCCCAAACAATCTCATGAGTCTTGCATCCATGCACCCTCATCCCTGTTGAATCCATACATCGTCTTCCTTGCAGTAAACTCCATGCAAAGACCTTCAATGTCAAATGTCATGCAGCTGACCATCATGTAGTATATCGCAGGTGGCAGGATTCATCATGCAGAACAACAAGCTTGCCCATGCCAGTCAAGTATCTCTCGTTTACATGCCAATGCCAACGCACTGTCACAGGCTCATGCAGTCCACGCCATTGACACACATACTCATCCATGTCGCGTGTGGCTGCGTGCAGTCACTCCCCTTGCCGGGAAATATATCGAACATGCCTCCTAGGGGTGGAGGTGTTCTCGAAAAGTCGAGTGATCTGTCTTGCAGTCTTTGTGTGTATATATATATATATATGCATATATCGTACTTACATACGCAATGAAGCATACCGGAAACATGTCGCAACATTGTAACCGGCAGAAAGATGAGTTTCATAAATGCGGTATGGAGCGGATTCTACACCTTTAGCAACTCATGCTTCGAATATCCCCTCTTATCGTCTTCCAATAATAATCGTTTTGACTCGAATTTTTGTCTATTCGTTTGCCTGTTTGGGGAGCTTCAACCCAACGCGAAGGACTCTCTTTTTCACTTATTCCTTCCTTTTTCGCTTCATGCGTTTAAGACTATCCCCTACTTCCATTTCGGGGTGTGCTCTATTGCGTTTATACCTTTGCTTCTTAATGGCTCTGGGGAAGTTTGGGTCGCTGACCCCAGACCTCATTAGGTTCGTTGAGCGTGGGATGTGTTTAGGTGGCTTTGGTTTTCGGATCGTGTTTTGGATTGCTGATTGTAGTGTTGGGTGCTTTTTGTGTTTGGTGGGTTTGGAAGGGTTGATTATTAGGTGCATTGAGAAATGGGGGAAAGGCGTGTGCGGGGGTGTAAGATGTGAAGTTTAGGGTCATCACCTGCTCTGACTCCAGGACCAGGCTGCAAACACAAATCACTACCACCAGCTCCGGGTCACTATCACTTCAGATGTTTGCGAGATTGAAAAGGAAGACATATACGGGGTTAGGCTTCAAGGTCCTTGAAGTAGCGCGAGGTGCCCATGGCCGTGCCGGTGGTACCCATGGAGCTCACCTGGATTCACTGCGCAGAACTATCCAGTTGAAGATTTGGGCTTAGGGATTCCGCCCTGGGACTTTACACTCTCACACCTCGGACAATCCGGGCGAGGTCTATCGGGCGAAGTCGGCGTGACACTAGGGTTTGGGCAGTGGTGTCGACCTTCACTCTCGTTGGAGTAATTGGGGTTTACGGTTCCTTGACTGGTCAAGGTCCGGCCTTGCTCAAATTCTGCCACGTAGTCCCGATCCGAAACTAAGGGCCCAAGACCTCGGTGGCAAGAGCCACTCCTACGGCCACCGTCCAGATTGTGGCTCTTCTTGCATCCTTGCAACTTCTCCACCTCCAAAAAACCTTCAGGACTTCCAGCGCTCAGGTCTTCGCGCTGTAACCCCGGAGACCAGGAGTTACAAACCCCCAGACTACGTAAACTCACTCCTCAACCGGCGTATACAGCGTATACACTTTGAGAGCAGTGTTTGGTGATTTGGACTCGAGGGTTATACCGGGGCGCCCGGCAGTGTGGGGGCAATCTCATCCGCCATAAACATGTAGACAAAGCCATGTTGCAAAATGGGTGACCTGGCCACCGGTTTGCCTCATGACCTCGGGCCCAGTTGTCTCGTAGTGTGCCTGGCGATCCGGAAGCTTGCGGTTGGCCTTGAGACAGCCATCTGGGTTCCTCCATAAGGGAAATTGCAAGCTGTCCCAGAGTGCCGTCTAGCTAGAGGTTTCAAGTAGTTGGTAGTCCTGCAACGTCCAGACCGGAGCAAGAGCAGTCAGGGAAGTATCACCATCACATCTTGAGCACGACTTTTCTTGTGTCTTTTGCCACAAGCTGGGCTTGGAACCGAGGCCAATGAGCGTATCTCGCTGCCAAATAGGGCCATGTAGCAGTCAGAACTAACATGTTGGACTGCCAAAAGCTCCAAATCACCGAACTTCTTCGCCATGAACGCTTAGACGTCACTTGGTGGGACCGTGTGCCTGGAGAACGATGTACGATCTCTGAAATTTCAAGTTTCCGGAACCGTGGGCCCAAGCCCCGTCTTCAAACTTGATGAGCTCCACCCTCCAGACATTGTCAACCTACGTATCGTCATGACGAGTGTGGCCTTCCAAAGCATATCGCTGCTATGATGCTCTGAGCAGTTATATGGCAGAAGATGGCTGGCGGGGTTTCGCCAGGGATGCATGGAGCCTAAAACTCTTGAGGCATTTGGATTCTACCGCTCTAGGTTTCTTCACACAATGCAAAGAACCATGCCGCCTGCCGAGAAAAACTCAGTCATGAATCTCCCGAGCCGTGCCTGAGGATTGTCTGGGTTGCCGAATTGGTCCAGCACGATGCCCTCCCCGCGGGCCTTTAGAGCCACCGAGACTTCCACTCTGCACTGCCGTCATCTGCCGATACCACTTCGATCCACATCTACATACCAAGGATAGTCACCTGAGTGCTGCGGTGTCAGTGCCGATACCAAGAACATCAAGAGCCAAGCGTAGGCCGAACAGTCAGAAGCTCAAGTTTCACCATCATTTTGCAAAGACATCGTCAGAAACCAGTCTGCACATCACCATCACGGAGATCCACCTCTGAAAAGGACTGCGCAAACCGCTGCCCCAAGCCGTCCACCCACATGCTCGAGGCCCCCAAAGCAAAGCTCGAAAGCTCGGGCCTGCATGGCCTGGGCTAAGTCTCTGGCCTTGACTTGCAGCGCGTTGAGGCTTCAGGGCTTTGAGGGTCTCTAAACAAGTGCATGTCTAAAACACAACATGTCTGTATACATACAGATATAGATAATAAACACAAACTCATACATATCTATATGCCTCCACATGTTCTACATACATACATACATACATACATACATACATACATGCATGCATACACATATACACACACTCACATGTATATATATATATATATGCATATATACTTA